CTCTTCTTTCCTGTGACTACTGGTTAAATTAATGATAATAGTTCAGCCCTAAACTGGTTGCAGTGTGTTCCTGTGTCTACTTAAGTGGGAGCATTCCTCCCTGTCTGCAGCAGGTTGACAGGCTACCTTAAGTTTTGAGTTGGCATTGAGCATGATGTACTTAATGGAGCCCTGGATGTTCTCAGTCCAGCTGGCCAGCCATGTCACAGTGCTGTCATGTCGAACCTCCTTCCAGTGGTGACCAGCAGGGGGCACGGGAACACAAGCCTCTCTGTTGGCACAAGAGTAAGCAAAAGAGAATGTGTGCATGTGTATGGAAGCAGTCACAGCATTCAAGTACAAGGTAGAAGGTCCCAGAGGCTCCAGTCATCTAAACATTAATGCATGACACCAGTAACAGAAGCGGATACTTGAAGTTGTCACCTCTGCCTGCGTGAGGGAATACAAGTCCAAACAGCACACTATGCTACTGACAGTGAATGGGTAACTATATACCTGTACATAACTACATATAACTTACATTACCATAATTTTTGGGTTATGTACTGTTTTAACATTTTTCAGAGGTTATCTGAAGAAAACACCTTCAATCAAATCCAAACACTGCACCATCTGTAGCAGTGTATCGCCAGTGCTTTGCCATTTTTTTTTTTTATAATACAGCAATGTATATTTTTAAAAGACGAGTGAATAGCATAAAACTTCAAGCTTTTAAACTCTTTATGCTTTGAAAGCAGTCAAAATGAGGGACTTTTTCCAAAATGCTGCTTTTAAAGCAGACCATTTCTTATGCATCACTACATTGTCATAATCCCACTCTCACTTGCTGCAGTTGATTATGACATCCTCAGGTTGAATCCTACTCTTCAGCATGCCCTGCTTAGGGTGCTCGCCTCTACCCCTGAACAGCCCTGGAGGCTCTATCTTAAAGTTGCCAATCCGCTCCTTGTGGTGGTCCAGTAGACAATAGCCATACTCATCCGCTATCTTCTGGTTGGCCTCTTTCAAAACCTATCAAAAAAAAAAAAAAAAACATATACACACATATATGTTTACATACACACAAATAAATTATTTGTCATTAAGAACCTGAATTATCTGCACTAAGCTTCTTTAGACACCGACAGGAAAATATACAATAGACTGTTTGGACAGCATAAAAAAATAAAAATAAAAACCCTAAATCTTACCCGTTTCTCCTCCTTGGTCATGTTTTTTCTGGCCTCCACCTTGGCTTTATGCATGGCATGGATCTCTCCAAAGTCACATTTGTCAAGATCTTGTATTAGTGCTCTCTCTTCATGGGTCATTTTCTAAAAAGGCCAAAGTGCATTACACTGTAATCTCATCTTGAGCTGGGATTTTTTTTATTAAATCAGCATAAAAATCAGGCAATCATTTAGTGATACACCATTCAGATCAAATATCAGAGAATTTAACACCAACAATTTGGATAATCACTTGAGCTTGTCATTAATCAAGCACAAAAAACTGGGAAACTGTGATAGGTATTTTTCACTTGGCGGTACTGACATTTTATAAACAATTTATCAAATACGTTATAAAATAATCAACAGATTCATCTATAATAAAAATAATCATTAGTTGGAGCCCTATCCTAGAATGCATAATTAACTCCTTTTGTCATTTAGATAATATACATACAAGACTTTTCATCACAATTCAAAAATTAATGAAGCTTCTAGGTAGAACTTTTTAATTCAAAACCTCCATCAAATAGGAAAAAACTAAACAAACAAAAGCTACACACCACCATACTACTTCATTAAATTTAATGTGAGCTATTAATAGTGTGCAGAAACTTTGCTGAACAATACACAAAAACTAAACACAAGCACAATGAATCAGTGGCCTTTCATTTAGTTACTCATGTGGAGAGGACAAAAAGCAAAAAGCAGTCATTATGAAACACTAGAGTACAGACCATTTGCTCCTAAGAAGCGAGCTACACAGTACATACAGTTCTGATCGGTGCTACACTGAAGACAAAAGCAGGACAACAGCTTCAGTTTCAATTATAACTTGTCAACTTTCTGAAGTTATTGCATAAAGTGTCATCCCTTCAAAGGGGTCTCTAATAGAGCAGCAACACACAGTGGCACAGCGGAGACTTTATGATTCATCTCAGAAGTCTTTGGCACTAAAATGTCAGGACAACATGAGGGGTTTTTTTTAATATGGACTCCTGCCGATGAGTAAGGAAGCCATCATTCCGTTTTGAGAACCACTTTCCTACCTAAAATCCTTTTATGAATGTCTATTTTTAAGGTCACGCTGGCCTCGAACAGCAGAACATTAAAGTGAACAATGAAAAGGGCTTTTAATGACCAGCACATTTTGACCTCATCACCATCACTCATCGCTATAGCTGCACAACAAAAACAGGCCAGTAACCCTAGCAGCTTTCACATAAAAACACAGATAACATATGAAGACTTACTGCAAATGGGTTAAGTATGGGACAAAGAAAGGAGAATCTAACCTGAACACAAACATTAAGAATAAAGGAAAGGACTCATCTATCAAGCCTTTCAGAGCAGTACTGATCTACTCCAGTGTTGTCATCTCGAGTCACAGGAGATGAGGTGTAAAAACAGACCTGTAAATCACACACATCTCTCCAGACACACTCTGACAGTGTGGACACAGTCTGTCTGCGTGTCTAAGCATGACTGACACCCGACAGTGGGCGGGCACTGAGGGCAGTGGAGCGAGGAGAGTTTTTCCGGTTATAATAAAACAGTTTAATTGGATTTGTTCATATGCAGGGGAGCTACTTGTATGGATTAGCATATCAATGCTTTCACACAAATCGTATTTTCAAGTGCATTGAGCACTAAGCAGCGCAAAATTAATTCTGCATGATATGCCTTGGGGCCTAGCACGGTGTTTTCTCTATAGAGGACATCCTGACAGACTCCGGCGTGCATGTACCTGTCACAGCCGCGCACATAACCCATACTTCACAAACATGTATTTTACAATTTACAAACACAAAATGGTGGATTATAGACAGTTATTACTGTATCAAGTAAGAGTTTCTGGAGAAGCCAACACTGCTGATGTTTTACTTTTTACGTCAACATCAGCATTATTCCCCTAAAGTAACAAGAGAAACCGAAAACAATGAACTCATGTACACAAAACTTCCAGTCAACCTCATCATAGCATGCAAGGAAACACTGTTGGAAAAAAACAACCAACTACATTCAAAGAACTGACCAAAACTGTTATGTAATATAATATGTTTTACTTGAAACCTTAATATAAATGTCACATTCACCTCATTTTCAGTTGTCCTAGTTGCAGGTGTCAGTTCTAAAAGCCAGTGAGGAGTATTTTTTCCTTCCAAAAGTGAAAATATTTATGATGCCGTTATGCTCTACCTTCCTCCAGTCTTTAAAGAAGTTTTCCCTGAACACCTTCTTGGTGGTATATTCATGGTCCAACATCTGGGCAAAGAACAGAGCCACCTCCTCAGCTGCCAGGCTCAGCTTCACCTTCTTGCCTGTACACATACAAACAGAAGTCTATCACTAACAATGATGCAGTTTTTCTCCCCACCAATGTCTTTGCTTGGGATACATGGGTGTTTTTATGACCTCACTTGCCTTTCTTAAACGTGATGTCATAAACAGAAACAGTAAAGAATGCAGCTTGTCCATCAAACCAAAGGCTCATTTCTACACATTTGAAAGCTCAGAGTCTGATCTAAATACAGTAACACCCACCTATGCTCCTCCAGAGCCCTGTCAGATTAATCCATGAATTTACAGGAGCAGGTTCAGGCACAAGGAGAAGGATCTACATTCATCCTCACTACTAAGACTGAGCTACAAACAAGCATATGCACGCACAGGAATTAACAGATCAAACCAACTCCCCATAAGACACAGCAGTGGCTAAATTATCAACAAAGCAAAACCAATAACAGTCACCAGTGTGCGACTAAATACACCTTCCCTTACAATTGTGTGTGAGGAACGGATTTAGGGAACCTACACATTGGCACTGCTTAGATTCACCTCTTAGAGACTTCTTTAGTTTTACACACAACTTGTTGTTCCTTCTCTGTAGGTTTGGTTTTAATTTCTACAAATTAGGAAACTTGAGAACATACACGCATCAGCTATTATGACCACTGACAGGTGAAGTGAATAACACCGATTATCTCATTACAATGGCAACTGTCAGTGTGTGGGGTATATTAGGCAGTAAGTGAGCATTCGGTTCTCAAAGAGAAGGGGTCTGCAGAGAAGATTCCGAGAAGGTTCTACAGACCCCTCACACCCTGGACACAGACAGACTGTCTGAACTCTTCCCCTCTGGATGGCGCTACAGGTCACCGTATGCCAAAACAACCAGACACAGGACAGTTTCTTCCCTTGGGCCATCACTCTCATGAACAGTCCATGTTTACATGTATAACAAGATACACCACCACAGTGCAATAACTTAAGTAATTGCTGTTCATACCAAATAGTTCGTTTTCAACTTGTAGATACTGCATGTACACATTTATCAGTAGTTTGTTTTTTTATCTTTTATTCCATTTTATTTGGAGCACACTGGGGGCCACGGAGCTGAAGTCAAATGCTTGTATTTTAACATACTTGGCAATAAAGACTGCTTGATTGAGACTGTTGAATTTGTCTAACAAATTATCTCTAAATTCTCCTCAAGACAACAGTTTTCACTCCTTTTACACAGGTTTTTCAGTGAATGGCTGACATATTTGTTCCCGTTCTGACAGCAGAACTATAGAAGCAAACGGATCCACAGAAGATACGCTGTGAGCAGCAGAGTGACATGAGTGCCAACCAACTGCTGCACTGACTCGTATGCACACAGTATTAGGCAGGTGGTCATAATGTTATGGCCGATTGTTGCAAAATCATTCCAACATGATTTTAAACCATCTTTAAAAATGTATTATGAAGTTACAATATTATTCAGACCCCCAGGTGCTTCCATTTTCCAAGTTGTAGTCTTCAGCCCCAAGCAATTTTCACTGAAGTGACATCATTTGACAAAACGTAGCAAATTTCTGACAGCTCCCTCAGTAGCCAAAAAGGCTCGATAGTGGGTTGTTTTTTTTTTTTTTCACGTTTGCTGCGTTTGGTAATGCTGGTTTGATATAGGCTATAAGTAAAACTACTGAGAATCTCAGAAAGCTTTCAAAAAAGTGATTTGCCCTGTAGAATGCATGAAATTTCTGAGTCATTATCTGTGAGGTACCACAATTATTTTAAGGTAGTGTCACGAGAGAAACCACTTTTGAGTGTGTCAAAATAGCTCAGGTAAAACCCTTTCACCCTGTTCCCATCACCCTCTCTCACACATTAAACATCCACGCTCAACTGACCATCATAGAAAAAGTGAACATCATCAGGTAGAGGCTGGTACTCAGGAGGGAAGTAAGGTCCTTTATGTTCCAGGAACCTCCATTTCATCCCATCTTTATATTTCTCTTCCTCCCACCTGACAGAAAGCAACATGATGAAAAAAAATGAGGATGTATCTGACAAAGTGAAAATTACTCCTTTCTGGTTTCCCCATGCAGTTAGTGTTCAGTTGTTGTGAATGTGTGTGTGTGTGTGTGTGTGTGTGTGTGTGTGTGGTGGCTGGGTGGGGCCAAATCAATGCAAAATGAAAAGAGCAGCATTTCCCAACCATCTCCAGCGATTCTGCTCCTCCTCCTTCTTCTGTTTGATCTTCAGCTGTCTTGCCTCTTCCTTCTCCTCTCTGGTCCTCTTAGGAGTTTCCCCTTCCTCTTTCTTTACCGCCTGTGCCGAGAAAAACACTCAAAATGTCAAACACACAGCGTGAACTACACCGTGAGTATTACCTCAGGAAGACTGAGATTTACCTTTTTGGTTCTCATCTTTAACTTCTTTTTCTGAGCTTCTCCGTCACTTTCATCACCCTGTCCACGTTGCTTATCTTCTTTCTTAGAGCTAGAGGCATCGAGAAAGACAGTCGCTTACACAACATGAGAAAATAACATGTATTTAGGATGCCCAAACAACATTGTTAGCCATACTCTAGTACTAGTATCAATAAAGCTCACAAGTAAGGAATGCTTTAATATCAGGCCAAGTCAAAGCTCAGACATCTGGTCACACTTACGCATGTGTAGCAGTGGACTGTGAAGGGCCTTCCATGGGCTCATCTTTAGTTCTTTTCCTTTTCAACCCTTTCTTTATCACAGTGAAGTTGTCATCCTCTGGCTCCTGTTTTATGGACTCACTAAACCACAGGAATAACAGACAGGGTCCGTAATAAAGCTCAATACTCTTGTCATCTTTTTTTTTTTAATTTTTGTCCTTTTTTCAGTCTGAAGTCCTACTCATGTGGTATCACTGACTTATGTATTTATGCTGGATGAGCGACAAGTCACTTCACAGTGACCCACCCTAAACTCCAGTTTACAAATAAAAGAAATGTTCATCTCAATTAAAATGTTTAAACCTTCCTTGTTTGATCCCCTGGGAAACATTTTTAGTATAAAAGTCAAGACAAATATGCCTCAGGTGGCTCTTTATGATCTGTACCAGTGTTGTCAACAAAAACTACAGAGAAAAATATTCACAGCCAGCCTACTTTCCAGGACAAAAACAAGAAAAGATCATTTAAAAGTAATATTTGATAACGAAAACTATGATGACATGTTTTACATTTTTTAATCAGCCAATAAAAACTAAGTGATAATGTGAAAGACTGATGAATGGGAATTAAGTATTCTGTGGAACCGCAAGATGTTGCTCAATTCATCTCCATTCTGTTTGAATTTTATAGTGCCAATTGACAACAAAAACCATCTCAGGGCACTTTGATAGTATAGTATACTTCAATAGTATAGTATAATTCAACTGTAAGTCTTAAAAAATTAAGGATAAAAATGAAAACAACACTAAAACCAATATAATCAAAAGACTAAAATTAGACTCCAACACCCATTTTTGTTACAGTGACTAAGATTAAAACAAAAAAATATATTAACGGCAGGAAATTACTGTGCAAAGATCTGAACTGTTCTGCTTTTTTGTAAACTTTGTCTTGGACAATCATGCACTTGAGCTGTTCATTTTGAATCAGCCTCTATTTAACAAGCTGATAACAACGCAGAATAAAAGCTGAATGGTTCTTTCTTACTGCTGCAGCCTGCCACAGTGTTAGTTAAAGAGTTAGGACAAAATTATCCTGCATGTCGAACATTTAAAAAAAAAAAATCCTTAGGCACACACCGACTTATTGACCACAAGAAATCCCACATAATTATGGTAATTAAGCAACATTATCTAAACGGTAATGATGATGACATAATTACAGCAATCAGAAATAAAAATAATAATAATAATGCAACTGCAAGCTTGAATTTCCCTAACGAGTGAGGAATTGGTGGGAATGGGTCCAGATTTAAAAAAATAAATAAATTCAACACATTAGACTCACTACTGCTAACAGATAACAGCGCTCTCCTTTGCTTCACATAACATTAAGGAGGAAATAGGAAAAATGTGAAGCACTGTAGCACGTAATTGTCAAATGAGCTTATTGAATCCCAACTGAAAGTCACAGCGTTATCAACTACCTGATACACAGTACGAAGCTAATGCACCCTTTCTGCACTTCCACAGTATGACCCTTGATGGCTTGTGATTGAGGGTAATGAACCTTCTTTCAGGTTCTATGGTCTCTGACTACATCTGCTCTTTGCTGCAAATGCTGCTCCCATTTGTGTTCCAGCACAAAATAAGGGGGCTGTAGAACCTCAAAACAAGATATCTTGGACATTATTCAATAAGAATGCCATTTTATTTCTTAAAGACATTCTGTATCATTTCAATGTAAAGGTTTTTTTTTGCATTTTAATAAAAGAGGAACACATTTACATATGTGAGAAAACAAAACAAGGTGACTGGTGAGATCATCACGTCATGACATCACTGACCTTTATACCAATTATACACTAGTTTCTTCCTTTACTTTTGGACCTTTGCATTTCTCCACCAAGTTTAATGTTGGTAAATACAAACCGCTAACCATTTTGCCACATATTCACTATTTTCCCTACCCCATCTGCTCACAGGAGAACCTGAACAGCTCACAGGTGCATGACAAAATAATTTGGGATTCCAGACCAAAGTGAAAGTGCTTACTCCCACTTGAACATTCTTTATGAAATCATTATGCTAACAATAAACAACTGGTTTTACATGCCTAGAAAACTACTTGAGTATATTACAGCCACACTGACTAAATTAGCTAGAACAGCGTCCCTTTGCATCAGGCTTCATGCATCAGCTCCCATCAGGGATGGAGGTATTTTTAATGTGACAAGTAAATGCAGAAACCATACTGCCTGCCTGCAGGTGTCACACTGTATCACAGTCACATTCATTCCAAATTAAATAACCAAAATATCCATGTTCTATCCTTCGCAGCAGACACACCACTTGTGAGCCAGAACTCTTTTAATATTCACGAGAAACTGCACATATAGGAGAAGCCTCTGTCTAAGTTTTTCCCTATTTTATTTTTACTGTGCTTTGCAGTGCTGTGGTGTACGCTGAGGCCAAGCTGTTCAGCTCAACATGGAGGAACAAAAAAAAAAAAAAAAAAGCAGTGTGTATAAATGGTCATGTTTTTAGTATACTGCACCACTAAGCAAAATCCATAAAGACTTATACAAAAGGAGGGTCACTGCGTCTATTGACATTTATGGTCTGTGGTTCTAATAGCCTTATGCTTCTTCCCAACTCTGCTGCAAGACTTTAACTTTCCTCCCAGCATGAAACCGGCTCATCTAGCACAGTTACCACCTGAGCTTTTCTGAAGGAATAAACCCTAAAGGGAAACATTAAAAGTCAGATTTTAACAAAACTGTTTTTCCAACTGACATCTCCTTTGAAATGTCACTTCTTGTATTTGGTTGGGCTAAGTCCATGTCTGGGAAACAATCCATTAACAACTCTATAGAAGCACTACTGCGAGTCACATTCGGCACAGCAGGCCTTCAGCCAAAGTCTGCCATCCCAGCAACACCCTGCTGAGCATCCAACGAGTCAAACCAAGCATTCTCATTTATTACGTTCCTGACAAGCCACAGATATCTGTCTTCAGTGCAGAGTGAAATTAATTTTCTCTGAGACAGCTTAACACATTGTAGGTTATAAAATTGGAAAGGCTTTTGTCCAGGGCCCTTGAACATCAAAACACAGGATTTCATTTCTATCACCTCAGGAGGGAGGAAGAAGCAGGGGAAAAAAAGAGGAGAAAAACGCAATTTCTGGCACAATTGCTCCATAGCAGCTTTTCAGTTTACTATCTTGGCCTTTAATAAGATACAATCTACGGGCATTATGGCTTCATCCCTACCTGGGGCTGTTGGCTTGCTCCATAGTCTCGGTCTTGGGTGTCTTGAGCTGAGGGAAGGACATGCATTAAAGCCCAGCACAACATAACTGCACTGCAAGACACACACAGAGCTGGCCCATGACACGGTGCGCTGTAACACACTAACTTCTTGCATTTAAACAACTGTATGCAAAATGACTTAACCACAAAGAGGCCATGTTAGGTCGTCCAGAACTCCCACTGAGTACATTCATGGATGTATGACACATCTTAGTCTGAATGACATACAATTTCGACAAATGAAAAATATCGGGCAAAGTCTTTTATCCGAATCTCTTGATCAGAGGTTGAGCAATAAAAAAAAATGTATCCATTTTGATAATTGGTTTATCAAGCAAAAACACAAATCATTCTTTATTTCCAGCTTCTTCAATGTGAGGATTTGCTCTTTATCACTATCTGAATAGCTCTTGTTTTGGGACAAATCGGTTTGCCTGTTAGACAAATCAAACAATGTGAAGATGTCACCACGAACTCTGAACTGTGATCAGCCTCTTCCATTATTAACTAAAATTTTAGACAAAACAACTACCAAATTTATCCACTAACAGAAAAACTGTCAGATTAATTTAAAATTAAAATAATGATAAATTGCAGCCCTTAACATAACACTGTGCTGTGAAGTGGGAGGAGGTAGTACAGCTATTATTAAATGACCTCATGTTATCAGACAAATTATGTTGCTTTAAACCATTTAAACACTGTAACCAAAACACTGCCCTGTAGTCTGGTTGTTGGTATGCATGTAAATATACTTTGCCACTGTTGTGGAGACCAGACAGCATTGAGGTAACCTACTGTACTGGGGCAAGCCGTTGCACACAAGCTGAGCTGGGGTCACTGGGTAACAGGGGAAGGAATTTTCCCCCTGGTATCAGACGTGCTAATTCCATAGAGGGCAAGAGTTACGGACAGACTCGCATGACCATCACAATCCCTCTGCTGGCCAAAACGACACTGAATTTCCATTAAGATGTTCTAAGTATGGGTCAGCTGAAACGGGACACATTTTAGCCAAATCTATTGTTCAATACAGACAGAAGATGATGAGTGGTTTACCTTCTTATGAGCCTTTTCATTTTCCGTTTTCTTTGTAGATTTAGTTGGCTCTGCACTGCTCATCAAGATGGAACAGGGATGACAATGAGAGGAAGACAAAGGTTTTGTTAATGATGCCAGATTTCTAACACAAGCAGTTATGCAGGTATAGTACAACTGCAAGAAGAAATTAACTATCCTTGCTACTGTGACATGACTGAATGAGCCCCTATAAAAGGGTTTAAGCTGCTCTTTTCAAGTTTAGGCTTATATTGAGAGTATATTAGGCTGATATTAGATTTGTGTCTCTGCCTGGTTTGTATCATTCTAGGCAGACAATGTTATAAAATACCAACAATGAGACAGGCAGAGGATCCCCTGACAACTCTGAACTTTTCAATTTGAACTTTACAACCTTTGGGGCAGGTTACATCATGAAACTGAGCTGCAATTATTCCCTTGATGTGTTCATTTTTTATTTTTAAATCAATCACAATTTTACCCAAACATCAGAGTAAGGCAGTACACCAGTTAAAGCAGGAGGCACTGTCATGCTCAGGAAAATTTGTTCCACGAATCTTGGACCTGAGGAGGGGTAAGTTGATTCTTAATCAGTGATTCAGTTAGTGTGCCATGAAATAACATGAGGCTATCTGTCACAGACAGCAGCCTGCTCTACTGCCAGTAGGACTTACAGGTGTCTATTTATCACTCTGCTCTCATCAATTACACAAGCCAATGACAGATCACTCCACATTCATTTGTCTGCTCACATATGCATGGTAATAAATGCATCAGATATCAAGTTAATTAATTTATTCATATGAAGATAGAGCACCCAGTGTACTCAGTGAAATGAATGCACGCACTCAATGCCACCAGCCAACACAGCACTCTCTCTGTAACACTTTCTTGTGTCTGTCCTTTAGTAGCGCGCACACACATACTTCTATATGGTTCATACTCTTCATCAGCATTCGAGAAGGAGCTTGTTTTTAATCCAAATTAATTTGTCTCCACAGATCAGCAATATGAACGGCAACGCTGACTGTAAAAAACAGCTTTCATGTGTGGGCTGTGTTAATCCTGCACAGATGTTGGATATGCAGCAGTCGGGTCACATGCATGTATTATTATGGAGCTGCTTCAAATCTGCAATTATAACAGGAGGTCATTCGGCTGATTTATTTGATTAACACTTGATTGGCTCTTGTTGAAGTAATAAGTTCTCGCAAACCATCTTTCTATGCATTCTTTTCTGTTTCCCACAAATCCACACACAACGCTTACCCGTACTTAACCGTATCACCCCCGGCGCCAGCGCTTTCATAACCACTCAGCCTTTTCAATTTCGTTGCTTTGTGCTTGGCCTTCCCGTCTCCTTTAACGTCCTTCTCTCTTCCCATCTCTCACGTGTACCTTAGCACAGCACAATGCACATAAAATGTCAATAGCAAATAGATTCACATTATTAGAATATTTACCGCCCTAGAGAGCTCTGGCCTACAGTTAGCCAATTAGCTAGCTAACTTCAGCCAACTGCTAACAGAAACTTACCTTCTCGACAGGTAGCTGATTCCAGTCACCTCTTATTCTGCGTTGTCAAATCAAGTAAAAAAAAAATACATTACATGACTAGTCATTAAAAGTCAACATATCAATCAACTTGCGAAGAACTTGTAAAATCAGATAGTACAGAGTTATTTTTCAAGTAAAATACCTTTGGTAGATAGAGCAGTATGTGGCCCGATTTTTGCGAGCGTTAAGTTCAACTAGCATCAAATCCAGCTAAACTCTGATTGGCTGGACCAGTTCCGAGAGTGGCAAGTTGCCAGGTTGGGTGGTGTCACGCCATGTTCTATGACCCGTCCGATGCAATGACCAAGATTATGCTTTGGCTGTGTCCGAAATCACTCCCTTCTCTCTATATAGTGCACTGTTACTGTAATGTGTTCACTATGGTGCAGTGGTGTCCAAATGTGTAGTGTGTAAATCTACCCACTATATAGTGCGCTCATAAATTCTGCAATGGAACGTAAAAATTTGCATACATGCCATGTTCACCTAGTAGCCTAAACAGTGGAGTATCCACCAGTGTCACAGTTACTGGAGGTGCAAAGTTGCACCTATGGTATCAGGGGGCAAACAAGCTAATCTCAAGCACCTCTTGATGTAACAACCTCTGCAGTATTTGTTCTTGCTTTCTCTGCCACTTGTACAGAGAAATCTAGTTTTGTCTTCTCACCCCACAGACATGACCTTGTCTTCATCAGTCCCACTTCATTCCAGACCCTGTAGATGAATACTACAGTATAAGTCATACATTGCTATTGCTCAAAATTTCTGGAAAATTGGCATCATTGTAAAAATCATGGGTTTTAACAGTTCCTCATTGATTTATCAATCTATAGGAAAGTAGTTCATATATTATCAAACAACACATGACAGACATTGGTGATCTGAAAAACCATAAATAAGATTCCTTTATAATGTGACTCTGTGGTGTGTGTAACTGTCCCTTTACAACTTGCCTCAGTCAGAAACAAATCAGGATCATTCTGTTTCGCATGGTGTCACTGTTGTGGCTGGATGTGGACATGAATCATATCTGTCTTCTTGTTTCCCCTTTGTTCAGTTATCTGCTAAGTGATATTTAGCACATACATAACAATGAGTCCCATTTGAATGCAGGTTCCCATAACAAATTTTAGACAATAAACAGAACAGCAACAATGAGTATGTGCAATAGAATAGCATTTCATATCTGTTCAAAAGAGAGTGTAATGTTGAGAAGCCCTTTTCCTGTTATATCTGCCTGTTAAATAATGTTCAGTGAAACACATCACAATACAAGTGTCTTTTTATTCTGACAACTGCCATAAAAACTAATGATTTGCCATCTCACCGTGTCAGTGGGAATGTATTACTTAAATCATGAAGTTAAGCTGTTAAATCTAATATTGTACTTTTCTTTACCTCACATACTGTACATGGCACTCTTTTTAAAAACAAAAATAACAACTATATATTACCACCATCCAGTTCTTTCAGGGATGCAGCTTCCAAAAAATGTAAAAGATGTTGTGATCATCAGATTTTTGAGCCTAATGAAGGCAAAAGGAATGTCTGTACTACAAGATACCCTGCTGTATATCTTTTAAAATGATCTCATAATATACTACATTATTCAACCACACAGGGTGATGATTGGACCTGATAGCTTGCACAAACTACTACCAATATCTATCTACCAACAAATGACCAACAACATAAAGTTCATTGTCAGTTGAAAGCTCAGCTGTCATTGAGGAGAATAGAGTGAGACACTTAAGTGTATTGTGTACATCATTTTTGTGATACACCTAACACATAAGACCATTCTAAAATAACCATTTTAATGATCAGCTTCAGTACTGAAGAGAAATACTTACGGTTATAAATAAAGACAATTTGATATACTTTTTTTTTTCTTACTGTGTATTCCTGTTACTCTTGTGTGACATGGTTTGCCCATAAAATGCGTTCAGTTTTGATATTATATTTGTCATGTTGACTCACATTTTTGAGCTACAAATTATTTTAAAAAGTCATCAACAATCCACTCTTGATTCATTATTTATGGGAATACTGTTACAGTAATGTATAATGTATTGAACTGTTATTGGTTTGAAAACTAAGTTTTACATATAGGCTAACTGCAGACATTTAGGTTTTCATAGCACAGTTATTATATTGGTATTTGTTTTCTTTGGAGATTAGGAATCATGGAATAGAAGACATCCAACTCACAACATAAAAATGTATAAATACACATGTGAAAAATAGGAAAACCAACTTTAAAAATAAATATTGATTCTACAACATCCCATGAACTTATTGGACCCATGAACTTATTTGATTGATGTAAAGTTTGGGTCTGTCAAGGATAGACTATTTTTCTCTTGTTGTTGTTGTTTTTATTTTAACTTTATTTATGTATGCAAAACATCTGCATGTGCATGGCAACAAAAATTATGCCAGGGTCTGTAAAAAAAATAACTGAAAACAACAACAAAAAAATGTACATGAAATGAATTTACATAACAACAAATTTGCTTCACAATGTCTACCAGAAAAGCAATTTTTGTACTTTTTGCAAATATTTATGAATGTAACAAATTTAAAACATCATTAGTTGTTCTCAATTTATGAATGAACATTTCCCAGACAGATATGGAGATTTCTGTAGCCGTCAACTGTCCTGTTGTTAGTATGAGAAGATTAAAATAAGACTAGGTGCTACTCAGACATAAAATCTAAATAAATTTGATAAAACAACTACCGAGTTACACAGTACACTCACATCTGACCATTTTCCAGAGTACCAGCAGTTGTAAAAACCTGCTGCAAAGTTTACAAAATAAGTATACACAAGAAATACAGTAGGTCGTTCCAAATGTTATAGCTGTTGTCCACCGTGAAGTTCTCTTCAAACAGTTTCAGCTTCGGTCATAGTCAATACAGAGTTTGGAGATTTGTCCACTCAATCAGCTGTTCAGCAAAGTATTTTTACTGATACATTCAGATACATTTTGAGATCCAGTCAGGCTCGATTCTGTCGACTGTAAATCCTTTTTACCTCAGGTGTTACCATGTTTATACTTAAGCTTTAATACCAAAAGGGTTTGTTTTTACTTAAGCTTTAATACCAAAAGGGTTTGTTTTTATGGGCTGCTGTAGGTATGTCATGGACCCTCAGTTTAACCTTCAAACATGTTGCCATGATTGTACTGTCTCTTTAAGAGACCCGGAAACGGTTTCCCCTTGTTTGTTCAGTGGTTGCGCATTCCAAACAGGCCGAGTTCCCTCTCGGAGATGATTTCCCACCCCATTATTTGGGCTGTTCGTAGCATTGTGAGGTCCTTGCGACACCGGTCTGTCTATAAAGGTGCTCTGAAGGCCTCGAATATCAGCGGTTGGCGTTGGTTTTCTACCCCGATTCGTGTCGGTGTCACAGAAATGGAAGAGATACTGGCGAGGGTCGTTGCACCTTTACCCGCATACGAAACCAGAGAAAAGTCTCCCCCTGTTCCTGATTCAAACAGCCTGGAGTTAATGCGCTTCTACAGAAGTCTCGACAAGGAAAACAAAGTTGGCTTCCTGACAAAGCTGTCGCAAGACTTCGGAGTAGACCACAAAAGTGTCTCAGAGCTAGCTGTGAAGTTGTTGGACAATCAGCTACGGGACTTGGCGACTGTTTTGCAAGTGGAAGACAGGCTTCGGTACAGCTTGACTCCACGTTATAAACAGTTACTTAATCATATAAGCAGGGTCGAGAGTGGAGTGAAGTTCCTTGTGGATCTCCGATCCGATGTGCTTGAAATAATCTCAGCCAAAGCTATAGAGAGCCCGAACATAAGGGTAATGCATTTGTTTATAATTTCTACGGGTGCTCGCATGAGTCAAACAGTGCATTTCGCGTTTAGGATTTTGGCACTGTTGCTGGACCTGAATGTTCAGTAATTTAGTGTCGTTGCATGTGGTTTGTAGTAGCAGTATAAACAGTATGCGTAGCTGCTTACACAACTACACCCCCCACCCCAGAGCCATGCACTACACCCCTTGCTTGCACCCCCACCCCACCACCTACATTTCACATGGCTTGAGTGGCAATGACCTTTCCTCCAGTTAACCTCACCATTCTAGAAGAACTTTAGGAAGTACTTGCAAATAGATTAGACCAAACTTGTTTTGCACAAATACTGTTTAGATCCATTTCAGGGCTTCCTTCATAATTTCTGCACATCGTTGCTGGAAATATGAATTTACCATACTGATCAGAACTGGAAAGCTCTTGTGTTAAAATAGATCCAGTAACAATATTTTGTATTATACATAAAGTGGCAAGAGCTACTCTGCTGCTGCAACAAGGTGAAAGAGCTGAATATAAATCAGGCATGTAATGAATAATTGGAATGAATCTTTTGAAGACAAAGTGAAAACAAAACTGAAATAAAAGGCAGGGAGGGAAAAATTCCATCACACAGACATGGCTTCTGTATTCTTTACCCTCTTAATGGGACATTTTTGGCAACTTATTTCTAAAAAAAAAAAGCCACCAGTTCTGGTCTCATTTACCTCATTGTTCATTCATGTTCAATCAGATATAATTACAATTTTCAGTTCAGCCCAGCGTTGGAGGGTCGCAGTTTCCATTTCCACCTTGAAATAAGAGTGAAATATTTTTTTTCAGATAGCAAGCATGCTGTCATATTAATTTCATGCTTTTAGTTTGTTTGAGAGTTCTTATCTCTATCAATGTTCTAAGGCATGTAATTCCGCCCCCCCCCCAAACCCCAAAAAACACAAATGTACGCAAAATGTACCATAGCTGTCTTGATATAAATACACTCTGACGCATTCAGAGCAACAATGGACTAATTTGACAGGCTAAGTTTGACAAAGGTTACAGAACTGCTGGTGTTTGTACTTGCATTTCATGAGTGACAGTAATAGCCTGGCTTGCATTTTTTGTGTTGGCTGTATCTCTAAGTCGGACTCACACTGAGTTGACATGAAACTGCATTTATGAGTTGAGTAGTGCTGGAGACTTACAGTTTCTCAGGCGACCAGCCGCCCTTTTGTTGAAACTAAAAGAGAAAAGCACCTATAGTGCCTAGTAGATGTTGACATATTCCAAATGATGTACTGAAACTTACCATAAAGAAAGATATAGGAATAAACAGCATGGTGGCCTTCTCTAAAGTATACTGCTTTCTGTTATAAATGCCACCTCATGTCTGCTTTTCTCAAACATGGTAGTCGCATTGCTCTCTGTTGCTTTGTAAACTTGTTCTGATGAGATGACATAACCGAGACGGTCAAACCAAAGCTGCCCTCCAATGATGGAGCAAAAGGTTTTCTATCATCTCTGTGATCAGTTTTTATGTTTTGATTTGCTTTTGAACAAAGCTAAAACCTGTTAAGAGCTGTTGCCTAATATGATTTTCAAAGACTCAGACTACTCCTTTGCCAGAGGACTTCTAGCCTCTCCTCACTTCTGCTGCTCAATATCTATCTTACTCTTGCTGAAAGGTGCTTTGGATGCATTTCATCTCAATAAGCTAGGCCCACTGAGAGCTTTTGTATCTTAAAAAGGTCTGAGCTATCTACGGAACACTTACTTGTTCTCAGTGCTGACCACCTGCTCTTGGCAATGCACAGCAGTCTTTGCTTATTGCTATTTCCAGAATTGATTGAGGTAAAATGAGAAAGGTCATGGCAAATATGAAACTTTTTGTACCTGTGTTGAGAATATGGGCATATCTGGGTTGAGAAACACTGGGGGAAAAATCTGATCATTAAAGTAAAACTAAATCACACATGGGGAAAAGATATGGTTTATAGAATTACTCAAGTTTGGAATTTGCAAATCTGTAATTACTGTGTTTTGTGCAACAATTTCAGTTTCACTTATGCCAGATAAGTATGCTTTTGTTGAGTAAATCTTTTGATATTCATCTTCATTCCTTGTACCTCCAGGCCTTTAATTCTTCATTCTTAGCTCACCTGTTCACAGACTGAGTGGATGAACGACATTGACGTCATTTCGGTTGGCTCTTTGGGATTACACACAGTATCAGTGAGGCTATTTTCTACCCATGCAATGGCACCCAGCCCACTCGAGTAAAGGTGCTGGCACTATCTGAGCCTGACCTGTAAACACTCTGGCAGTTAGTGGGCATGTGGCCTCAGACAGACAGGCACTGCAGTTTCCATTGCTCGGTATAATCACACTGGTCCTTGTAGCAGAGGCTGTATCAGCTTACAGCATCAGCCTCTCACTGCACTGGCACAGCTCTAGTGTCAAAATGTTTGCTTCATTTTCTTTGGAATGGAGTGCAGAATTTCCTTTTATTCCCCTTCCCTCCAATCCTTCATCTCTTTTTTAACCCCGGGCCTTTGACTGCTAGGTTGTTTCATTCCAAAAGATTTCATCTTCTGCTAGGTCAGTGGAATACACATCTCAGTCTGCCCTTCCTTTTGTGTGGGTGAGAATTGGCTATAGTGGCTGCACTCTCACAGATTGTTGATGTGCTGTGTTTCCCCCAGAAATGTTGGCCTGGGATTATCAGCCATCATGGATTATTTCTTTATTTCTTTTCTGGCCGTTTGTGAAGTTTGAGGAACACAAATACACTCACACAGGCACTGCATAACTAGTGAGAGACGTTTTTCTGAACTGTTTTTAAGATTACTGTTTATTTACTCTTCACTTAACAGACTTTTCTAACATGAAACCTCTCAACCAAAGTGATGAGTAATATAGGGCCTGATACATGTATGTAAAGACGAATTTCCCATTTTGTCAGTTTTGGTTTTGATAGTTGTTCACAGAGAATTTCAACCAGCGGCTTTTACACCATAACTGCATTTAAGCTTGTTTGTATTAGCTATTATTATGACTGACAAGCCAGCATTAAAGTAATTCTGAAGTGAAGTCATCCTATGGAACAGCCAATATAAGCTATATTTATGTGTTTGAGTGTGTTTGCGTGCGTGCACTTTGTGCGTTTGTTTGTGCGTTTGCAAGAGATTTGCTTTAAATGAAGTCTGACCTTTGCAGAAGGACAGGCCTGCTTTGAAATGGCAAGTTGTTTATTGAAGTGCCTCCTCTAAACCAATTGCAAGTTCAAACAAATCACTGCTCATAATGTGAAAACATTCAAACAGCATATGGACACCCAGGGGACCATACACCTTGCACAGGGTATAAGAAGTGGGTATGGAATTGTTCATAGCCTAGGGATGAATTTAAGCAACATCACTGTCAGTCAATAAGATAGAGCCTGTAAGTTTTCTCAATAAAAGAGGTCATGAGGTTATAAAGACTGTATTTATTCAGTTTTTTTAAGTCATAAAAAGCTACCATTTTATAGAACAGTTTTATAATGTTTCTTTTTTTATAAGCTATAAAAAGTATGGATTTCTTTTTTATTCATCATGTACATATAAGATTTACCTGCATCCAGGTGTTATATTTATACCACAATATACAGTATAGGTCAGTTATAAAAAACAAATGAAATATTGTGTTTTTTCTGAACAGCTGCTAAACACTCATCTTTTTTCTTTCCCAGGAGCTGAACAGCATGCTGAAAAGCTTGCTGTCTGAGTGGTTCTCTGTAGGTCTGCTCCAGCTGGAGAGAATCACCTGGCAGTCCCCCTGTGAGATCCTGCAGAAGATCAGCCAGTAAAGCCACTCATTCACATTCACATCGTTCTCATTTTGCTTTCATTATATCATATGAAAATGGACTGTTCTTAAAGGATAAGACCTGGATTTTTTTTTATCTTGCACCAAAACCAAGAGGGGGGGGGGTTGAAAATCTTGTTAATATAGACAATGACAGATCTTATTCTTTAAGCAGTATATCATGTATGCAGCCATCGAATTTAAATATAAGATCATTTTAGAGCATTGTTGTTTTAAAATGAGTCAGCTGAAAACTTTAAAAAGTCATCTAGAGATGGTATTTAAAGCAACTCCTGAAGCTAATGTTAGCTAAACTAGCAAGCTAGCTACAGCTAATATAATTTTGCAGCGACAGGTGTTTCAGCAAGCACAGTTAGTTATAAATAAAAACTCTGCTATTGTCTAGCTATATCTAAAATCAAGGAAGTAGTGTTTCAATAATTACTCTGTCTTTTGAGAGATCACTCTGACACTGTTATTATGGTAAATTTCAAATATGCCATCCAGGAAAAGAAAGCTAAACAGAGGAGGGTAGGGCTTACCATACTGACAATTACAAACTGAAAGATTAATTTCAGCTTTCTGTCAGGTATGAGGCAGTGCACCCAATAAGAAACTGGACTGACCTGAAGCGCAGAGTGGGACCATACCGCCGTTGTTATGCCTTCACGCATGCCGCCATGCCAGGAGAACCCCTGGTCGTACTACACGTGGCCCTGACTGAAGAAATTTCTGATAACATTCAGGTTAGAAGCTACTATATAGCTACAAGCTGCTTAATGGTTTGTCTCACTTTACTGCACCTTGGGGGATAGTTAAACATCAGGGATTTACTGTTTGTTCCTACTCTCAGCTGACAAATGGGTTATTGCTGTGTGAAATACAATACCATGACCTTTAAACTGCTTATCCCTCTGGGAGGAACCTCTGTAGTGCTGACTTCTTGTCTTGCCATTTACAGTGGGGAAAAGGTGGTTTTGTCAACACTGAAATTTTAGAATATTCCATATAATAGTTCAATGATTTCCACAGTTTTGCCCAAGCACCTCTTAAACAGTTAAAAGACATCGCTCGTGGCTGCAACTATCCAGAACAGTGGGAATGGGCTTGTATATGGTTGAGTAATGCAGAATTTGTATTTCTGACTCCACAAAATTTGTGTTTTTCTTGTAGAGCATTGTCCGTGAGTTTGCCACTCTTGAATCTGAAGAGGATGTGAATAAGATAAATGCAGCTGTCTTTTACTCCATTTCCTCCACCCAGGCTGGCCTACAAGGGGTGGAGCTGGGCAACTACCTGATCAAAAGGGTGGTAAGAGAACTGCAGGTGGGTGAAGGTTACTGTAGGATTCGGGATGTAGTTCAGGCTGTTTGGTCAAAGAACTATTGATGGTGGAATTAGGCAATTCAGCCGTGAACATAAAAGTGTTTCGATGCTCTGATAAATGTTCTGCATTGTATAATAACTAATTTGATGTTTCAGATGGTTTCATTTTCTTTGATATGCTAGCTGAGGCCAAAGCTGTAGGATTTTATGTTAATAGTTTTGCTAATTAAAGTATTGTGAACATTGAAATGAGGGTAGTAGAAGAATTATTTGAATCCATTCTGTTTATAATGACTTGCCTTAGGTGAAGCTAAGACAGCACTTAAAGTAAGAGGAGAGGTCAGCTTATATAAACATCTGTTATCTAAATGGAATAACCATTAAGTGCTTAGTTTTATCAGTGAAGCTTTTAAATCATCCTTTCCCATTAGAGGTAGTTAATAACATGCTATCATTACAGTGTACATGACACATGCTGTTTTACAGCTGTAACTCCTGCAGAGCTTCTGTGACAGGCAAGATTTTTATTTGATTGCTTTTTCAGTCTTTATTTTAGTCTCTGTGCTGAATCCTACCATACTATGCATCTTCCACAGGTTTTAGCAATTGCATATACACGCATAAATGCATACACTCATAAACAGAGCAGTAGTCACCAGACAGACAGTAATGAAATCTTGTCCATCCCCCTCAGAAAGTGCAAGTACCCTTCATGTCAGGCCACTCTAGCTAGCACTTGTGAAATGATTGGAACATTGAATGGAACATCAAAAACCACTTTACCCAACAGATGGGAAATAGCTCTTTATAGTGTACCCTCCATTAAAATCAGGTTTCACTGCTTTAAACAGCTTCCACTTTAGTTATTCATACAAAAGGACTGTTTTCATTGCTGCAAGCTTTTTAACTTATTGGCATTTTTATTAATGGCAACATACAGTTCAATGAGCTCAGCAGATATTGTGTTTTCTGCTTCAGCAACAGGACAGTTTGTGCTGTAGCTATTGTGGTGTAAAAGCCTTACAGATAGGGAGTTCTGTCATCATGAAGAGGTCTACCAGCTTTGCATGTCAACATCTTAGCAATGCAAAAATAATAATCTGCACACAGAGGTGTGCTGCTTCATAACTTCTCTATACTACACTTAAAGCAAAGAACAGTAACTACAAATCAGTGATACTGAGAAAAAAGGAATTAAAGGTTTTCAGGCAGGCCAACTGTGAAACGGAGAAGGGTCGTAACGACTTAATCTTGTGCTACACATGTTATTTTAACCAAACCAATCACTGATATTTAACCTACATACGTAATACCAAAAACTGCAGATGCTGCAGTCTGCCCTCGAAAAGCCTTCAGGGCGTCCAGGATAAAAAGAGCATGAAGCTTTTCTAATTTTCTAATTTACAGTCCATATTTCACTTGGAGTAATTTTATCTGTTTCACTGTGTCTGCTAGGTCTTAATATTTGTTTAAATCAAAATATTTATTTAACAGTATCTTAAACACACCAAATCACACGAATTCCAATAAGTGGCAAGGATGGCGGTTACTGCTTTTCTGCTTAGCTAGTTGCATTAGCTTTGGTCAGAATTTGGTGTTTTTTCTCCATTTGTATAAAATTTACCTATTAACTTGTTTGGTTGTATTGAATAACAACATAAAACACCAATGTGCCAGGTCAATCTGTATTTTTCATTTATAGTTCACAGAGAAAACTCAGTAAGTTAGTTTAACTTAAGTGAAAGCTAATGCTAGCTTTGGCTATTTCACTAACTAGCTTTAACATGAAGCTGAAATGGCTCTCTTGCACTAGCTGGTGCTGGTGTTCAGTGGTAGAGAGCAGCAGAGTTAAAGTTTACATGCCATTTCACAGAATGTATATATTTGTATAGCATAAGAATATTTTACATCATAAAACAGATGGCAACAAGTCAGATTTTGCTCTTCAGTTTGGGTTTTGAAGATTACTATAAATTTCTGTTTGAAAATTGAACTGAACTAAGTCTTTTATGACTTTCAAGTCATTTTCTGGACACTTCTATTCAAAGTACACCATCACTGCATACATTTCTCATGACCATAATGGGAGGCAAACCCCTGACCCCAGTGGAAGTGCAATGCTCTGCCTTAAGGCTACATAAAACCATAACACAGACTGCTTCTAGTATTCTGCAGGCTTTGGCTTTCTGACAGGGCTTTAGCTTATGTAAAGAAGAGGACAGGAGTAGCACTGCCACAGAGGGACCACTATGATGATGGATAGATGATAGAGTGGAAAAGAAAAGGTCATAGTTGTGATTTAAGGTGAAGAGAGGAGGTCTTGCTTGTCTTTGTAGATTAGACCCTGGAGTGCATTTCTGGCACTGCTCCTCCTTTTGCTGTATGACCTTATTTTTTTATTTTTTGGCAACTCTGCCCACTTTCGACATGCCAGCATCCAGTAGTTAAAAGCAGATGGAGCAAGGAAGGCAAGATTGTAATAAAGCAGAGTGAGAAGAAACACAAGGAAAGACCTAGCAGGACTTGGAAAGTGAGAAGGTTGCATTTCAGAGTGAAGGGTGAAATCAAGGAGGAAGAAAAGAAAGCAATGTTGCAGAGCAAGGCAGACAGACAACAGCGTGTCCCTCCAGAGGTTGTCTGACACTTCCACTTTCATCTGCAGCATTTCACTTGCCTGCCTCCCACATTGCTCAGTCACTTATCAACCCAGACACCGGAGCGCGGAGAAGGGGGTTGGGGGGTATTTTGATGCAAGAAGAAGGTAGTGGGGTGGAAGAGAACTCATGAGGTGTGTGTCTGAGTGTGTGGTCTAGACAAGACCGAGTCACGGGGGAGAGGAGTGAGAGAAGAGGACGGGTATTAAAGGTGATAGTGCAAGGGACAGAGGAGGAGGATAAAATAAGAGGGGAGGAAAGGAGAGAGGGATCATCCATCTCTATCACCAGGGCAGGATTGTGAAGCAAAGGGGTTGATTTGTAAAGCCGTCCCTGTCCAAGGAACTAAAGGCCGTACTAGCAGCGTGAGCACAAACAAGAAAATTTAGTTCTGTGTTTTGATGCTGAGGTCAACTGTGGATCTTTCTTATTTCCACTGCTAGAAGAAAGTGGTGCCCTCTGCATCCTAGTAGGGATCAAAGCTCTGCTGCCTCTCACCTGTTTTCTTTATACCTGTACTTTGTTCCTAGTTGTCTTTTTTGTTTTCTTCTCTTTAACCTGGTTAAGGAAGGTTGAGGCAGTTCTATGCCGAACTGTCCCTGCATGAATGATTCTCCAACTTTTAGTGTTTTAAAATCAGGGATTTAAAAAAGTAACTTCTTACCCCTTAAATGCGTGGGTGTTTTGTCAAGCATTTCTTGGGTCTTCGGGGAGTTGTTCCATTTGATATGGATTGAGCACATAGAAATATTTCTTTTCTCAGAACATGTTATTAGCAACATTAAACTTACAAACATTAAACCTGTTAAACACAGGCTACTGTAACTGCTCAGTGACTGATGCTTAACAAAGAAATTATTCAACACGGTAATTACAAATCTGCAGTTTGCTGGTGAGCTCATGACATCTGTGCTAGGATTGTGATGCTGATGCTGTAGTTCTGTTTCTGAAATATCCGATGGATCAGTTGGCATGAAAATGTTGCTGAAGTCACAGTGAGATGATGGTGCAACATCAGTGTGTCAGGTGCACTGCAGAGCAACACTTTTTTAAATATTGGGATTTTTTTATAACTAATTGTGAAAATGAAGACGTGTCTGAAGGAAGTGAACACTGGGATCATATTTTTATGCCAACGGATCCATAGTATTCATAGGATTTGTAGTATCTGTGGCACAAACTGTGGCCAAGCTAGAATAGAGAATATTGCCTGCTGTTATACCCACATCATATTGAAAAAAGAGACTTTTCAGTCTTATTAGAAAAACAAAGTTGGCATTCTGACACCAGAAATTGTTTGAGGAATAGAAAGGAGTTTAAGGTTCAAACTGAATAAAATTAATGATTTAGACATGATGTAAAATGGTTCAGTGTTAAAGGGTTAACTGTACCTCTCTCCATCTCTCCTCATGTCTTCCAGAGTGAGTTCCCTCACATGACCCAGTTTTCCAGCTTGTCACCCATCCCAGGCTTCTCCTCCTGGCTCCAAGGCCTCCTCAGCCAGTACAGGAAGGAGGGACGGGGCTCCGACCTCCTCTCTGAGCAGGAGTGGAAGGCAGTGGAACAGGCCACAAAGTCATCCCCAGAAACCCTGGCTCTAGACGCCCTCCGCAAGCTAACTAGCACCAGTGAGTGGATGCACTCAGAACGTCTATCCCATGTCCTGGAGCCTGTTCTGATGCGTCTCTGTGCCTGGTACCTCTATGGGGAAAAAAGGCGAGGCTACGCTCTCAACCCAGTGGCCAACTTCCACCTGCAAAATGGCGCCACCATGTGGCGGCTCAACTGGCATGCTGACACCAGCCCCAGGGGTGTGGCAAACTCCTGTGGCATCATGGTGAACTATCGTTACTTCCTGAATGACACGTCTAATAACAGTGCTCGTTACCTGCAGAATAAGGTCATCTCAGCATCAGAGCAGGTGCTGGGGCTGGTGTCCCAGTTTCAGAAGAACAGCAAACTGTGAGAAAGACACAAGGAGACACCCATGAAATACATATTCCTTTGCCCTGCAGGTTAGATTGCACTTGATATTGTTTATATATTGACTGAACATGAACTTTATTTTGTTTAATTTGTGTAAACAGATCCAAAAGCCCCAGTGAATGGGCATCAGCTGATAGTGTTTTTGAATTGAAATTAGACCATTTCTCACAAGATGTGTCTCATCCCATCTGCTGTATGTAGTGCATAGGTTAGGATTTTTCCCTCACTGGGTTTCTGGTTGTTGATATTAAGTGTTTCCTTGGCTGAGAAACTGTAGCTATTGTAATCAGAGATGTTTATATTATTTCATTTGGCCAAACTGTCTCACTGCAATCATGTTGATGAATGGGAGAGTCTTGTTGTGTCATGTTTGAATTTAATTGCTGTTAACTATTTAGTTCCAGTAAAGCACAATATACAAAGACATAAAATTATAGACTGGAAACATTATTTCCTGTTTATTAACTCTAAACAAAACTGGATTTTTTTTTCTGCCATCTACCGTGTCATGACTGCTTTTATTTTATAGTCGACTATGCTCACTCTGATGCACTTTTTCTCTACACACACATAACCAGCCTCTCCAGAGAGCAATCACTGATGTTCTAAATGCTCTGTATAGGTGCCAAACAGTGCTCATATCAGCCTACACCCTATTGTTGTGAAATAATATATCACAGCAAGTTGACTGTGAAATTATATTGTGTCTCTCCAAGGAACCAAACTTTCTTCTCATTTTTTTCACACTCTTTACTCCCCCCACCTCACTTTTCTCTGCCTGTGCCACTCTGTGTCCTAGAAACTAATGAAGTGAGAAATAAAGTTAAAGTAAATGGCTAGATTGATGGTATTCAGTTGTTGAGAAGACGGGGGAGGAGAATAAAGAAGCACAAAAAGGACAGTTGTTTAAAGGATGCCCTTGAGAGAGAGAGTGAGTGTCTCTGGAGATACTGGAGACTAGAAGAGACCCATACCGCTCGGTGCACTGATATGTGTGTAGATACGAAAAAGAGCCACACTGTTATGCCATCTGACAATAGAAGGAGAATGCACACTGTGGTATAGGTTGCCATAGAAACACCAATGACATACTCCACACCTGCTGCTGGCGACTAGGGCTCGTTTTGAGTCACCTTTGCTCAGCGATGCTCGGTGGTAGTGACCACAAGTGCATTTTAGCTTAAAAGGCCAGTATTTTTCAATTATGAACTCTTTAATATATGTATACAGTTAATGTAATAACTTTTTAAAGTAGTCTGTCAGGTATTTCCCATAAGACTGAGAAGAGAAATTGCTCACATGGCAAGCAGTTACAGCACTGAACTCTGATTTATGGACACACTGGGCCTGCTAAATGAAATGATACAAAACTCAGTGGAGGCTTTTCAGAGGATGAGTCAATCACTGCTGCACACTGCATTATCTGATGGGAAGGGTTTTAATTGTTTAGATGATGGTCCACGTTTCATGTGTTAAATGGAGCTAATTTGAAAATGGCTGCTCAAATGAATGCAAATCTCTGAATTTTTAATTGCCTGAAATATCACTGAAACAAAGACAGCTTCTGATATTTTTAAACATTCTTGATCAAATGACAGTAAAATTGGATTGCTAGGTTTCTGCAGGCAAAAATGTAGCGACAAGTATTCTGATCACTGACAATTTCCACAATGGCTCAGTGTGCACTTAGACTTGTCTTCATTTGTGTCTAATCAGATGGCAGTTTTGTCACATTTCCAGCCCTGCACATGTTGATAATGGATTCACAGCCAAGTTCAATATTGTACTGCTCTGTTCTCTGACATGTCTTGGAGCTAATACTTTCAAAAAGGCAGCAGAAGACCTAATTACAATTGATTAGAAACTGTCTGCTGAGGAAATTCATGCCTCATCTATAAATAATTCAGCAATTCATACAATTCTTTTGTTATCTTTTTTCAAGGTGTAGATTGCATGTGTGTGCGGTGGTATGTTTCATTTCTTGTCCTTTGTTCAGAGAAAATTGCTTTACAAATGACGCTAATCCAATTTTTTACAGATCACATTGACCAGGTGGCCTTGGCATTTTCATGTCCTAATTTATTCTGATAAGGTTTGAGATATAAAAGCCTTTTGTTTTCATCTGCTCAGGAAGTTTTAAGGCACAACAATGGAAAGAAGTGCCAGACCGTGTCAATGATAAACCTATATGTTATATTTTATAATATGTTATAGTGTACTGAAAAACATCTAAACTAAAAAACGTGACCACTGTAGATGGCAACACTTAATTAAAGTATTTCACATTGGTACATGTGGAATGGGTTTCAATAGATTCATAATGTTGCTGCTCAGTTTCGAGGGGAAGACTTTCTTCAGCATTATTGTGAAGTGTCTGACAAATTACCTCCTGTCAAACACCTGCATTGACACCTCAGTCCAAAAAGGAGGAACCCCAAAGGTTCTAGGGTATCTGGAACATACAGGCATGGTTACTTAATTAATTAGGGAAGCCCGAGAGAACAAGAGAGACCTGGTTGTGCTGTGGTTGGACTTAACAAACGCCTTTGGGTCCATACGCCACAAGCTGGTGGAGGAGGCACTGAATCAGCATCATATCCCAGGCAAGTTCAGAGACATTATGTTGGACTACTAAAACAACTTAATTATGAGAGTCTCTTCTCGTTCTACAACCCTGGCACAAGCTCAAGAGGGCAATGAAGGGAGGAGGTTAAAGTACATGGAGCTAGTGGAAGAGTGCTGAAGTAATGGGTGGTGAGCAAGGTGTGAGCCCATTGAAGTGGGTTCTGCAGGGGCCTACAGTGTGCTGGGCATCACTGGGCCCAGTAGGCAAAGGGTCATGAAGTTGACCACTGAGGCAGCAGAAGTTGCATGTATAGGTGGCTGTGGATCAGGAAAGGAGAGCTGTGGGCGGGGTACAGGGGTGTAGCTAGACATAAAATTCTACTGGGGCATAGGACCCCCATTACTCAAATCACACATTTCTTTTCTTGAATGTCTGCTGCATGAGTGAAATGTGCTATATGAACTTTCCTTGCTTAGCCCACTATTCCACTGCCATACTGCTGTTGCCAAAACTGAAACAACTATTGGTAAAGGTAAAAATATATGTGTATATATAATCATTAAAGCTTTTATATTTGCCAAACCTGCAAGCAAGTTAGATGGGAAGCAGACTACAACCAAAAGCAGCCTGGGAATTTGACTGGCAAGCAGTCCCAGTTTGAAATGTCAAATTTAAAATGTAAAAGTTAATTTTCGGACAAATGTACAGATGTACAGACGTACACAGTACAAATGGATGGAAAACCCAAAACCATAAAGTGTCACCAGCACGGAGGCATAGATACTCTTATTAAACTTTGCATGTGGGGATGTGGGGATCAAATTGTTAAACCAGCCAGTCTACAGTAAACTCTGACCTTTGCCATAGAAAGAGCTTAATTATTGTTTTTAATACACTGAAAACCCTCAGCCAAGCTTAAAGTCCCCGATAACCTGTTTTCAATGTATGTTACCAAGTATTTGTGTCTAAATAGGTACATGAAAGTTAAAGTTTGGCAAAACCTCAGCCACAATTTATTACTTAAATATGAAAAACTCTGCTAATTTACTTCATTTGGACTGTGTGGGTGTGGTTCGCCCCACCGGCTGATACCAGACTTCAATTCACATATAGATGAATTTGATTAGTTCATGATGCTGCATGATATCATACTTTATTTTCAAACTAGAAAAAGAGCGTGGATAACAGCACAGACATAAATGTGTCGTGTGAAATATTCAAAACTGTTCCAGCTTTGGCAGAAAATGTTGGCTTCATAGAGCACTCCTGTGCTCATATTAAAACACTTATTTAAAAAAACATTTTGAGGGCCTTTGCTAGCTACCTACTCTAACTGAAGTGCATTTTCTGTGGTTAGGGTTGGGGTCTTTTGGAATTTGGGTGCGGCATTTTCTCCTGACATTTGAAGGAAATCAATGCATCCCATTTTTTCAGCTTGAGTCATTTTTTATGATGAGAACTTTTGTGCACATGTTCTAAATGTCACTGTGTGGTCTATTCACAGCAGCATTTGCAGGTAAGTGATGACGTGAGGGAAGTGGGATTTTCAGTTAACACTGAGAAGGAGGTGGGAAAAAAAAATTGCCAAAAGCTTGCTTTACCTGCAGGACTCTGACCTTCCTATGTGCATGTGTGAGAGTGTCTGTGAGGGAAGTGTTCATCCAACTGTGTTAATCCATTTTTTCTGGCTGCTGTTGCTGGCCCACCTTCATGCTTCTCACCTCACACCATCACCATTCTCCTCCTTCTCCACCCCCCTGTAACCCGATCCTGCACCCACAGCCCATACAGTCCCTTGGTCCTCCTTCAAAGGACTTCACGGTTTCATGAGCAATCGGGACACAACACGTTTAGCGTGTGCATAGCCACACACAATACACCCTGCCTTTTGAATCTGCCAGGGTTGTGCAGGCTGTAACCTTTAGAGGGCAGCAGAGTTTCACCTAGAGTGAACTGTTGCACACTGAGCTCAGTTCAAACAAAGTTTCTCTGATGTGCTGCCTGGCCAAACACCCCTTTTCCCTCACTTTTCTAATTTACCATAACCTCTCCCTTGTTTTCCTCCTTTTTCTGATTCCTCTCCCTTTGAGTCTGTGCTATTGTTTCTTTCAGCTCACCCCACCCATCTGCTCTCCGTCCCAGTTGTGGGGTGAGTCGGAGATTGACAGATCTGCTATATCTGGTTATAGGCTGTAATTAAAACTCATTTGGCTTTCTGATAGCATTCTACGCCCTCTTTAATCCATTGCAATTAGTCAGTATTAGCTGACCTGACGTCTTGTATCAGATAGGGTTATTGAATGAAAAAGAGGTAAACAGACACAGGCAGCAGTTGCATCACCCTGGGGTGACAGCTACTCTAGGAGTGACACACTTGGCAGACAGATTGAAATGAGAGTGTCAAAACTCCCTCTCTCCCTCTCTCTGTGTCTCTCTCACTCACACACACATGCACATACACTAAGATTTTGTCCATCAGTTTCTCCAGTTGAATAGAGAAAGTTCTTCCAAAGAGGTTTGACAGAAGTTGATCAATTTCCGCAGAAAGCACTGGTATGCACACACACATATACAGTATACACAGCACTCTGTGAGTGAGTTCACTGATCAGGTAAATAATCTGAGGCCCAGAGATGATGATCACCCACAAATCACTCTTCAAATGTCCTTTTCTTTCACAATTTTTTTTCAATATCTGTGCCAAATGGAAAAATCTGGAAACACCTTTCTGACTTTCATGCTGTTCAATTGCTTCCTACTCAGCATGAATCAGATTTCCTGAACTTTTAACAGGTGCCAAACAAACCAGATGTTGAGAAATTTAGCAGTGCAGATGTTCTGTCACACATAGCTGCTGCTCTCTTTCATCTTTCAGCAAAGTTTTGACACAGCAGAAGCTTTATTCCCCTGAACAGAAAAAATGTTTTAACAGGGAAATATAATACTCAATGCAATATCACGATAGTAGTAATGCAGCGTTCAGTTTGTCATTGTGGTATGAAAGCTCTTCTCTATTGAAATCACTGCCATTATACTTAAATGGATCCCACAGTATCACAGAGTACCAACTACTCATCTACCATCTAAATGCATATGAAGAAATTGTTAAAAGATACTGCCTGATCCAGATTAAAGGGTTACACCAGAGAGATAGCACTACACTGCCTATATAGCTAGGGAACTCACAGGAGGCAGATTAAGCAAGATTACAATTCTATACACTTGCAGCTCTCTGTTCTTATACACACAGCAGCGATGTGAAAAAAATCTGCATGATGGTAGGCTGATGTTTAGCAGGACTACTTATAATTTAAGGCTGAGGACATTTGGTGACTTGATAATGGTGCTAGATGAAAAGGAATCTCGAATGTTTACACAATTCATCCTGAGGAAGCATGAATGACTGTACCATATTTCATAGAAATCCACCCATCTGTTATTGGAAGATAGATTATAGAGTGCCGCATCTGTCGAAGTGAGGTGTTAGTTGAGAGATTCATGACAGGAGGTGATGTCACATTTTTAGCACCTTTGCTGCAGACACTCCACCTTCCCCCCCCACCCCCCAGCATCCTGTTCACTGGAGTTTTATTATTTTATTATTTTGCAGCGTGGACCTGCATATCATAAAATCTTCTTTCTAGTGGGAATAGGGTAACACCCCAGACTAGGTTTGACATAAAGTTAGCCAATATGATTTATGATAGTCATGTGACTTTGGTGTTTAATCTAACCACATTGTATCTATCAACTTATAAACCCGGTGCTTCCAGCTATGTCCTCTCCCATGTTCACTGTAGCTCAGTCTCCTTGATGTAGCTCAAGCTATATCTATTGATATATTTCACTCTGAACAAGGTAGTGGACTGACTGGACCAACATGGCTAACAAAGACTGATCAAAGTCAGTGCAGCTGTGTCTTTGTCTTGTGCATTTTAGCACAAAATAAAACAAAAAATCAACAAAATCAACAAAATCAGTGCATCTGAGGCCAAGGCATCCTGACTGTTAGTTCAAAAACCCTGCATCCTACACTTTCCATACTGCAGCCAACAGCCCTTACTTACATGGTTAATGGCCATATCTTTCTAATGTTTCAAGTGTGTAATGCTGGCTTTGTGTTTGTGTCAAATAACCCTGATGACATTATCAGGAAAAAAAAATCTCTGCTAGAGCAACAGAAGAAATTATACAACTGATTTCACATGATGAATACTGCCCTATAGACCTTTATTTATAAAACTGGTGAAGCTTCCCTTTAAATGGTTTGAAACCTCTTCAAAGGGGCAAAAAGGAAAGATCAGCCTTTTTGAAAAATCTCATACC